CGTAGTACTCTCACGCATCGTAATTCCACGCATAGTATTGTCACGCATCATAATTCCATGCGCTGTATTTCCATGCATTACAATTCCACGCGCTGTATTTCCATGCATTACAATTCCACGCGCTGTATTTCCATACACGACAATTCCACGCGCTGTAGTTCGACATACTGTATTGCCAAGCTCTATAATTCCACGTATTATAGTTTGACGCACTGTAGTTTCTCACGCTGTAGATTGACGCACTGTATTTCCTCACGCTGTAGTTTGACGCAGTGTATTTCCACGCGCGATAATTCCACACTATAATAGCTTGACGCACTCTAATTCAACGCACTCCGTTTCTACGTGTTGTAGTTCTACGCGTTGTATTTCCACGCGCTGTAATTCGATGGCATAATTCCACGGGCGTTACTTGAACGCGTTACTCGACGTAACTCGACCTCAACGCGTTGTACTCGAACGTTGCATCAGCACGTTGCATAACTACACGTTGCATCGCCACGTGTTGCATGCCCCCACGTTATATCAGCAAGCGTTACATCGCGTAGTAGCCAACTTACGATTAACAGTATGAAATTTCCTTGTTCCTCGCCGCGATTTCGAGTTTTCGAAGCAGCGTTTACCGGTTGGTCGATAGAGCGACATGCTCGCTTAATCGCATCAGTAACGAGGGTAAACTGTACGAGGGTCTGAACGAGGGGCAACACGGCGGGGGTAACACGAAGGTAGATCCTCGAAAAGCACATAATTCGCAGAATATCCCGGATAAATTGTACAACCGTAAAATCCTAGCGGTGGCACGGTGATATCGCGCTCGGAAACAATGAGGCAGGTCGAGTACGACGGGAGCAGAGAGGGTACGGGCAAATTTCATTTAACGCACGAGGGTGATTATAAACAATGCAGCTCGTTGGAAGCTCTCTGTACCGACTGTCACCTCTCCCTTCCTGCACTCGACCCCTTTCACCAGACTATTATTGTGTGCGGCCTGTCACGAACCTGGACGATTTCCATTTAAAAAGAACCGTACCGTGCCGTGGCTGCCGATTCATTCAATTTATGCGGCCACTCTGCTATTTTTCATCGGTCCAACGATGGAGCCGCTGTACAGGGTGTCCTCCAATTCGATCATCACATTGTCACACACTGTATGAATAGAAATACCTGGTCCTTCAGTGTCGTTCAACATTTTCGACGCTTTTCATATAGGAATTTTTTTATAGAGACGTAACTGTTCAAAATTACGAGTTTCCACATTTTTATTTTGATAATACTAGGGGGTGCAAAACTTGTCAATTTGTAAATAATTATAATTGTAAAAATATTTGTCATGAATTATGATTTGAATGATTGATTCAGAAACTTAGGACTCTTCTTGCAGTTGTATCGTTGGTTTTGTCAGCGAGCGATTAGCAAGAAAAGTTTTAAAGCGCCTCGACAAATAACGGAGGTTCATTAAAGTTGGCAAGAATAGAGGTGCCACCTCCAACGTTTCCAGCCATAATTTTGCCCAATTTTCCCTACATTATTCAAACTAGCCGACGTTCTCGTAAAAACTACCCTCTTAAATCAAACGATCCGCCCGCGAAATAATCTCGCGGGAAAGAAAGCAGGACTTCCGCGAAGTGTTTAAATTCCGCCTTCTCTAAGCGGAAAAGACGATACCGGGTGTCCGCGAATCAAACGAACTACTCTATGAATAAAAATTAGACAACTTATCGAGTTAACGTAGGTTCACCGAGGTTTCATTAAAAATTTTTAAACGAAGCTTCTTTGAACCGTCTTATTTTTTATTCATAGTGCACGGTCTAGTTTAATCAGTTCGTTTGAATGCACCTTGTATAAGTTGGCGAAGAGGAAAGATCAAAACACGAAACGATAAAAAGCGGACATTTTCTTCGTTGTCTAAAGACGGAATAATTTCGCCAGCTCGAGGAAACTCATTAAAATAGCAAATGACACTTGTTGCGTCGATTATCGACTAAACATTTTTAAACGGGGGTTGTAAATGCAAGAGCTGTATTATTTATTAAATTCAGTGTTCTTGTTCTGTATTGTTCATAGAAATTACCTAGTTTAAATTACCTATGTTGTATTTCCACGCGTGGTATTGTCACGCATTATAATTTCACGCGTGGTATTCTCACGCACCATAATTCCACGCGTGGTATTCTTACGCGCGGTAATTCCATGCATGGTATTGTCACGCACCGTAATTCCACGCGTGGTGTTGTCACGCATTATAATTTCACGCGTGGTATTCTCACGCACCATAATTCCACGCGTGGTATTCTTACGCGCGGTAATTCCACGCATGGTATTGTCACGCACCGTAATTCCACGCGTGGTGTTGTCACGCATTATAATTCCACGCGTGGTATTCTCACGCACCGTAATTCCACGCGTGGTGTTGTCACGCATTATAATTCCACGCGTGGTATTCTCACGCACCGTAATTCCACGCGTGGTGTTGTCACGCATTATAATTCCACGCGTGGTATTCTCACGCACCGTAATTCCACGCGTGGTGTTGTCACGCATTATAATTCCACGCGTGGTATTCTCACGCACCGTAATTCCACGCGTGGTGTTGTCACGCATTATAATTCCACGCGTGGTATTCTCACGCACCGTAATTCCACGCGTGGTGTTGTCACGCATTATAATTCCACGCGTGGTATTCTCACGCACCGTAATTCCACGCGTGGTGTTGTCACGCATTATAATTCCACGCGTGGTATTCTCACGCACCGTAATTCCACGCGTGGTGTTGTCACGCATTATAATTTCACGCGTGGAGTTACCACGCACCGTAACTCCACGCGTGGTAGTGTCACGCACCGTAATTGCACGCGTGGAATCTGTCTCTGTCTAATTTATTTAGACAGAGAATAGGATAAAAGTGGATAGGATAGAACACTTGTGGCTACCTTTACCTCGTGGATACAGAAAAATCCCAACTTTACAAGACACTTTGTAAACGTTAAAGAACAATATTGGTGCAAAACGTCCTTTCCTATTTCCACATAAATCCAATAGTCAAGATTTACTAGGTCTCAGAAGTCGATCCAACGGGTTCGACTTTGACTTGGCGAACGCAATTTTCTGAAGCTTTCCACCGCGCGAAACTCCCGGGAGAGGTTAACTGCACTTTGAAATATTGCATAGGATTCCGTTACCCGCGTCGGTTTTCCTCCGCGTCACCAGGAACCTGAGGTTAAAGTGGAACGAAGCCGTTTAGTTCCGATCGAGGAGGCCTCGAGATCAATTCGAAACTGCACGTCGCGCCACTTAATGACACCCCTTCTCGAAACTGTGTCGTCTAATTAGGTCGCTCTATTTCGAGACGACGCGTTCCGATATCAATCTCCGGCGACGGAAACGAGACAAAAGTCTCTTACGTCGTATCTCCATTTTCTTTTCGTTTCTGCTCATTCGGAACGGTGGAAAATTTCAACTGGGTTAAACTATCCACAAGTATTCACGCTTTGTACTACATCTTCAGATCTCTGGATACATCTCTAGATTTCTACTAAAAATTGTACTTCTGGATCTCTAAATTCCTGGATCTTTACATCCCTAAATCCTTACATGTCTACGTCTGCGGATCTCTACATCCCCAGATTCTCACAGGTCTTCAGATCTGAAGATCCCAAGTTCCTGCATCTTCAAATCCCTGTATTGCTACATCTTTCATCCTTATATTCCACAATGACATCCTCTTCATCTCCACATCTCCACAGTACTCCATTCCTTCATCTTTATATCTCCACATCTCTGTACATCTCTACATGTCCACCTACATCTCTACGTTCCCACATCTCCATATCTCCACATTTGTTCATTTGTTCATCTTTACATCTTCATATCTCTACATGTCCACCTTCATCTCCGCTTTCCTACATCTCCACTTTGGGCAAAGTTTTCATCTTTACATCTCCACATGTGAACATCTCTACATGTATGTACATCTCCATCTTCACATCTCTACATATCTACATGTCCACCTACATCTCCACTTCCCTACATCTTCACATCTCCACATTGGGCAAAGTCTTCATCTTTACATCTTCACATCTGTACATCTCTACATGTCCACCTACATCTCCACATTGGGCAAAGTCTTCATCTTTACATCTCCACATCTGAACATCTCTACATGTCCACCTACATCTCCACATCCCTACATCTTCACCTCTTTACACTCACACATCTCCACATCATAATTGCACCTATTACCTCCACACATATTATTACGCAATTCTGACATAGAACGAAGTTTTAGATAAAGGAAGAATAACAGCAAAAACGATTTAGAGATTAGTCACAGCCTGTTAGGTCGACGTTATCGCGGAAGCTTCATCTTCTGTCGCGATGCACGTGATCCTGTAATTTAGGAAGCCATTGTGTTTGTATCACCTCACTTTGTTCCCATCTCATTGCCGGGCCAACGTAATACCACAAGCGATTTCGGCGTCGCGACACGTTTAGGCCAACCGCCTCCACGTTTAACATCGTACCGTGCGTTAATAATGGAGGGAAACCCCAGTGATCAAAGAGACTTTAGCCTAACCCGAGTGGATTTTCCTGAGATCTTCCAAATTCCAACTGTGTTGTGATACGCTTCCGAATTTGTCGAACTTACGTAAATTTGTCTGGCAAAGTGAATGGAAATGGGAAACACGAGCGAATAATCTGCTGAAAGGTTAGACATAGATTTGTTGCATAGGTAGACTTGTTGTAATGTGATTGAATTGTGATGTAACTCAAAATGATACCTAGATAGTTTATTATGGTTTCTTAATTAAATTCTTCTGCAAGATATAACCATAATACCTCTTCAAATCTTCACCATTTCTTATCTACGTTATAATTTCTATATCTAAATTTTAATATCCGTCTAAAGTCTTCCTCGGTCATTCAGAAATTTCTCCCCTCCCCCTAGTAATATACCAAAAGTCCAGCTAGAGACATCGATTTATAAAAATTTGAACTTGCAGGAATCAGATAGCTTGGCAGTGTTCTCCGAGCTGCTCAGATACACGAGCGTCCGCGAATTAAGCCTTTGCAATGCCCGCTTGCATCTGGCCGTCCATGAAGGTCCTTTGGCAAGATTAGGACGTCGGGACGACGCAGGAGCCGAGCTTCTCAGAGCAGCTCCTCCACCCGCCTGTCCTGCGATTGTGTTCCTCAGACTGGCTGGCTTTCAAGTAAGTAATCCTTTTTTCCGACTGTGTCTGATTCTTTCGAATGAAAGGAAAACCCCCTCTCTCTTTAATGCGAGTTTTCTGATTGCGAATTCGATCGAATCTTATCTGAAACTTCAAATCGGTTGGCTGCCGAAGGGATTCATTCAGGTTTGCATTATCTTCATATCTTTAACTATTCACTTAACTGTTCTTGGACACACCTTAATGCATAAATAATAATCATTTTTTTAATTTAATTAAACACCTCTGTACAGAGTTGTTGTCTCTCGTTCTTGGACACATCTTAATATTGTAATGTGATTGAATTGTGATGTAACTCAAAATGATACCTAGATAGTTTATTATGGTTTCTTAATTAAATTCTTCTGCAAGATATAACCATAATACCTCTTCAAATCTTCACCATTTCTTATCTACGTTATAATTTCTATATCTAAATTTTAATATCCGTCTAAAGTCTTCCTCGGTCATTCAGAAATTTCTCCCCTCCCCCTAGTAATATACCAAAAGTCCAGCTAGAGACATCGATTTATAAAAATTTGAACTTGCAGGAATCAGATAGCTTGGCAGTGTTCTCCGAGCTGCTCAGATACACGAGCGTCCGCGAATTAAGCCTTTGCAATGCCCGCTTGCATCTGGCCGTCCATGAAGGTCCTTTGGCAAGATTAGGACGTCGGGACGACGCAGGAGCCGAGCTTCTCAGAGCAGCTCCTCCACCCGCCTGTCCTGCGATTGTGTTCCTCAGACTGGCTGGCTTTCAAGTAAGTAATCCTTTTTTCCGACTGTGTCTGATTCTTTCGAATGAAAGGAAAACCCCCTCTCTCTTTAATGCGAGTTTTCTGATTGCGAATTCGATCGAATCTTATCTGAAACTTCAAATCGGTTGGCTGCCGAAGGGATTCATTCAGGTTTGCATTATCTTCATATCTTTAACTATTCACTTAACTGTTCTTGGACACACCTTAATGCATAAATAATAATCATTTTTTTAATTTAATTAAACACCTCTGTACAGAGTTGTTGTCTCTCGTTCTTGGACACATCTTAATACAAGAATAATAATCATTTTTTTAATGTAATTAAACACCACTGTACAGAGTTGTTGTCTCTCGTTGTTGGACACATCTTAATGCAAGAATAATAATCATTTTTTTAATGTAATTAAACACCACTGTACAGAGTTGTTGTCTCTCGTTGTTGGACACATCTTAATGCAAGAATAATAATCATTTTTTTAATGTAATTAAACACCACTGTACAGAGTTGTTGTCTCTCGTTGTTGGACACATCTTAATGCAAGAATAATAATCATTTTTTTAATGTAATTAAACACCACTGTACAGAGTTGTTGTCTCTCGTTGTTGGACACATCTTAATGCAAGAATAATAATCATTTTTTTAATGTAATTAAACACCACTGTACAGAGTTGTTGTCTCTCGTTCTTGGACACATCTTAATGCAAGAATAATAATCATTTTTTTAATGTAATTAAACATCACTGTACAAAGTTGTGTCCTAAACAGAGGACATTAATATTTAATTGACTAAAGTGCATCAGAGTAATAGACCGATAAATAAAATCATAAAAATGTCGCAATCTATCTTACGAATAAGAGAGAAACAGCTGTGTAGTATTGTTCTCCAAGATGGCTAATCTCGAACGCACGAATCGAGATAATCGCGGCGACATCGAGCGACTTCTATTCTTGAAATCTTGCCAGCGCACAAAAGTAGATACACGTCTAACGTATCGCGTGTGCAGGCGAACGAAAGGTAACGATCGTGAACGTATCGAGTATCCTGAGGGTCCGGACACGACGTATTCGAGACACTCGAGCTCGTTCGAGCCGGTCGATTCGTAATTTGAGGCCATCGATGATTCGTTCGCGGTCTGCTCGGTGGTCGTCCAAAACCGCGATAGATTATTCGCGTTGGTCAGGAAACTGGTTTCCACCCCGCGTCAACCGACGTTACTGGGTTGGTTACGTTGTAAACTCGGCGAACGATCGATATTACATGCCTCTATTCGTTACGTAAATCGAAGAAAATTAAATGCAACAGTTCCCTGGAATCTATAATGTCCTCTGACGTTCCTTTTATCTTGCAATTTATGCCTCGAATTGATTCACCATTTGTCTTCGTTACGGTGGTCCAAAATGGAAACGAATGTAGTGGAGAACAAAATGGTTTCCAATTTCCTTTGCCTTTCAATGGAGACCTTAACTTATAGGAGTAATTTAATCAAATTGATCTACAAATATTTTGTTAATTTAGAATAGCTTTACAATTTTTCATCTTTGACATCTGCTAAAGTTAAACTTTCTATATTGACAAATTTGACTCCTTAAATATTGTCCTTGCTTTTATCTCCCTGCTTTTGTCCTTCGATATCGTTATAAATTATTTATAACCCCCGCAGTTCCATTTCTCTTCGTCGATGGTCTGTCGATAATGTCCAAAGTGGAAGTAGATAAAGCAGTCGTGAACAGAATGGTCTCCTACAATTTCCTGTTTCCTTCATTCTATTAGCACAATTCATTCTAGATCCCAAAGTTCCCATTCCTCTTCGTCACTGGATGATCTAACGGCTCTGTCGCCTAAATGGAGGCGAACAAAGTAGTCGGGAACAAAATGGTACCATTCAATTTCTTCTTTCCTCCGACTTATCATTACAATTCATTCCAAATGTTTAAAAAGCCCATTTATCTTCGCTCGTTGACTACCCAGCAACTTAGACTGTGAAATGTCCGCAAAAAGTAAGTCAAACCTTTCGAACGAAATGGCTAACTCTGAAATTTTTAATATCGGAAATTCGAATAATTCATCGAGCAGTTTTATCGTCCACAAAAAATCAACGAAGCAATTCAATCGATCGTCTATGATTCTAGGTAACGGTGAACGATCGCCTCGCCCTTCGAGGACCCCTTCTGTTGCCCTTCCTAGCCGGGTTCACCGCCCTCAGCGAGTTGGACCTTTCCCTGGACAAATCCACCATAGGAGGCAACAGCGGCTCTCTATTATTCATCGACGACAAGATTCTCCAACAATTCTTCAGCTGTCTGTCCTCTCACTTCAAGAACCTGCAATCCTTGAGGATCAACTTCTGGCGAGTGACTCTAGAAGACAGCGACAAGACGATGAGGCAGATAGCCAAGTACCTGAAGTTGTGCAACCTGAGTTTCCTAAAGGCGAACGGGCTCATAGTGACCGACAGCGCGAAGAAGGTTCAGATGGAGCACGTTTTCGTGCAGACGGTGCTCACCCATCTGCAGTATCTCACCTGGCTGTGTCTGGACGGCGTGGATCTGACGGAGACGCAGGCTTCGAGCATCGGCAAATGCGTGAGGGATCGTTATCCTGGCACCTCGTTGGAGATCAGCGCCAAGGACGTGCACGTGAAATCGGTGAAGGCTCTGGTCGCTGCGGTGGAAGAGGCTGGTAGAGCGGAAGTGGTGTACACGGGCGGAGCTAACTGCAGATTGAAGATCACGAAGCTGCAGAAGAACGGCAAGGGCAAGAAGAAGTGAGGGCGGACGGGGAAGCTTCTGGTTGACAAGGACACGGAAGATTTTTTTTAGAGTTGTCTGGTCACGAGGAACGTGGGCCTAGACGAGGAAGATTTGATCTTGAACGAAGGGCCTGATCATTTTGAGGGTTGTTAGTTGACGATCCGGTGAAACGGATGTCAGATGAGACGATGAGCAAACGACTAGCAAAGAGAAACGCGTAGTTTTTAGAGAGGAAACGCGTATATCGTCGATGATTTTAGCCATAAGAGGCATATAGAATAAGATGACTACTTAACGAAGGAAATGCATGGGGAACGAGATGGATGGAACGAAGCCGACACTTTGTGGATTTTCGTCTTACTGTGATTTCCTTTTCGCACTCCTAACGATAGGTAGATCGTAGAGTTTGTTAGAAAAACGCGGAAAGAAGAGATTGTAGGAGAGGTGTTCTTTGTTTTAGAAGAGGTACAATTCTTTCTGGGGGAAAAGATTACGAAAGAGATCTAAGAATAATCGAGACCAAGTCACACGTATTACCGAAAGATATTTAAAGAAAAAGAGGCTGTTGCAACTAGATACGTTCGTTGTTGTTAGATGGACTGTAAAATACGATTCAGAGTAATATATTATTATTATTATTGTCATTATTACGATGATTATTATTATTATTCTTACGATTATTCGTATATCCTCTGATCACGATTATTAAATGTTACGATCGATGATCCAAGAGTGAAATGGCTTTACCGGATGGAGCGGTTTGTTGGAGACTTGAAGAGATTTTATAAATTATATTCTATAGTAGCGGGTAGGAAACGTATCCAGAGAAGAGACGTCGGTTTTCGAATTCTACGGTACATTATAGAGAACGATGGCTATTAATATCCCGAAAGAAAAAATCATACAAAACGGAAAAAAAATTAATAAAATATCTTCGCGAATAAAAAGAACGTGTAACTGCCAAATCGTAACGTAGACTTGAAACACGACTATCGTTTACCGATATCGTATTATCACCAGTTCGTTATTTTATAGAATTAAGCGCGATTCTCATTCGTTATAAAAGCTGCGTCAGCGCAGAAAGCATGAAGAATGCTACACTGCCATGCACTTTGTGAAAACTTTATTTATTACACGTATTTGTACAACTTCATTCTTTGGGATCGACGTAACGCGGAGGATAAAGGTACAGTCGCGTACATAGATGCCTTCTTTTAATTAAGGTACAGTATACGGCAAGTATGAACAGCATACACAAGTATGAACGGTAACTCGGGAAAATTAATTAAAAGCTTACAAACGCACAAACCGATGCGAGCACTATGTGCATCCTTGATGTAGAAGATGATGAAACCTTCCTGTTTGGACAGTTCAGGTGGATCCTCTTTAATGCTTACCATTCCTAGAAGGCCATTGTACCCATACAGTGCCATTTCCACAAGACCTACAATCATTTATCCCTGCAGTCATTCATACTATCCCTGCAGTGTCTTACTATCTCCGTCACATCTCCCCTACAATAGCACCCTCATTATTTCATCCTTACACCCACCATCTTACGATGTCATCTGCACCAGTTTCCTAGTGTAAAGTGGTTCTCCCGCCATCTTTCTGCCAGTAAATGTCTTTCAAATGATGGTGGGAGACTCCCTCAAGAAGGAAGACATCGTTGCCCGCGACTGTACATTTCGCACTTGTGAATCTGCACGAACGTTACCGATATTATCGAACATCGAGGAACGTTATCCGACGTAGCCACTGCCGGTCCTCAAAATAAAGGAACAAAAATAAATTCAACGAACCAGTTTCGATTTTTAATTGAGCTTTAAAAGATAGAGTTCCATGCCCCATTTTTCCCAGGCAAAATGAACTTTTCGATTCGCTTTTCTTTGATCCAGTTGTATTAGAATAGGCAAGCGTTGCCTCGCTAATGCGTTCGCACGGTTTTTCATTTTTGATAGTTTGCTATGTACATAAGATTACATTCGATCGATGCCGTGCAGCAGACGTGGCACGATTTGTTACATTTGCCAGGCCGTTTTACGAAGACACGTTGTGCACGAGGAGGGAACTGAAGCTGACACCACACGAGCGCGAACGTGTTCGAACCTCTGTCGGTGTGGAATCAGCTTCAACGATTTTATTATAAATATTTATGTATTTATATGTGTATACATATCCTTCAAATAAATGTAATATGTGTTTAAATGTTTCCCTTGTAACTAATTCCCTGCAGCTTCGAACTTGTTTGACGAACAAACAGAGGAAACGTACGGAGAAAGTACAATGTTCTTTAGTGTTTGCAGATTTAATAAAAAGAAAAGTCAACGAAAGATTTGAAGATTAGTAGTTCTGTTTATTATTTACACTTTGTCGATATCGAAGATGTACACTTCTTTCTTTTATTTATACATTAATGTCGATAAAACGTAACAATGTTGACTTTCATCTTGAAAATTGCATCGCTCTTCGTTGGTATCTCTCTCCAGAGTATGAATCGTCCGATCACTTTGTAACTGTTCGTTAAATGCACGCTATTTCTCTACCTTAGGCTCTCGTTATATTGCCACGAGTTTTCGAAGTCTCTCCTCCATTTTCGCTACGAAAGAACGCACGCTACATGTGAAGATCAACCGGCAGTATAAAGCATGGCAATATAGACCGTTATACAAAGTGCAGCAATATAACAAGAGTCCACTTTTCTATACAGTAGAAGTACAGAAGTGAATAATACATATAATTCGTTTCGAACGGGCATTAAGCACGTATTTATCAAACAGTTACTTAAGACGATTCGATAAAAAAGGTTTCCTACACTCGTTAATAAAAAAACTGTTTTTTAATCCCTATCGACGTATCTCGAAAAGTTATATTTTGGCTTACGTCATCACAATCCAATGTATACAAATTATATGTATATATTTACTTATATAGCTCGGCTATATGGAATGTCCTGGTCATGCTTACAACTTGCTTACAAATCTGTCATAAATCTAATTCGTGTCTCGGCGGATATATTACAATGCTAATGAAAACGATGAACAATTCTCTATATCACGCTTAGAAAACCATGCATACTAATTTTCTGCCAAATTCATTGTCTGATCTTAAATAATTTGATGAAGTTGTTTATGTCAATATTCGCAAATCACTTGAATCTTTACATTAATATAAAATGATTATCCTGCACGTGTCAAGTGTTTCCAGATGTTTTCTCTTTTAATATCAGTCATACAATAGCACCCAACGCGAGCAGAATGTGAAAAATGAATACATTTTTATGTAAAAAAACGCAACTTCGTTTAAACGTAAGAATATCAGTTTATATTACAATTTATAAAGTTGTATTTATATATAGCATATATTTCACATATTTCCTTCTCTTTATAGTAATGACTAGCTGTCTACAGCTGTCTGTATATAATTACGGCCGCACCTCGGTTATGCCATAATGCACGAATCTTTTACTATAAATCGTAATGTACAGAAACTTAATACAATAATAAAACAGATGAAAAGAGATCTTTACAAAAGTGCTGAAAGGGTAAGAAATAATTGTAACATATAATACACCTGTACTGAATGATACAAAAAATTCTTTATGACCTGCAGTCATTAAAATACACGACGAAAGTTTTTGGAAACAAACATAAAATGCAATTTAGCTAGATTAAGTAACATTATGCGATACAAACAAATCACGGACTATGTATACAAAGAATAACATATTTAAATGCGCTATTTTAACGATGAAATCGAAATATCCATAGGAGTATATTTCTAAATTGACAACCTATTATGATTTCCATAATTGTTTAAAAGTTTGGACACCTTAAATGATTTGTAATCCAAGATGATATTCGCTATTACTTAGGATTATGCACCTGCACAATTTTAAAATGGCAAAAATATTTTGCACTAACGCAGTGTTTCTTGCTTGCTTCTGACAAACTCCACAAACGAATACAGTCCTGGAGCACTTATAAGAACACTTTAGGACATGCATATTTTTCATAGATCACATGGGTGCGTAATCTAATTGAACGGTTAGATGCCTTACACCAGCTGCTTGGAAAATCATCTGTGTGTGTGCTACTACATATTTAGGTTCCACTGTTCTGGCAACCTCCAGTTTCAAGCACCCGACGTATACGTCTGAACACAACGTCCAGAAATGTGGTTCTTGTACACTGTATACCCCAGCCAATTGGGTCACTTTGTTGTAACACTGTGGCAGAACATGATCCAATGCTGCTGGTTGCCTTTGCATCAATATCTCCCACGAGTCTTTCATCAAAGAAAGTACACTTAAAACTATCAATACTGCGATCAGCATGGAACAAATTGGATCAGCTATAAACCAACCAAACAGACGCATAAGTATCGCCGATATAATTACACCAACAGATCCAAGAGTGTCTGCTAAAATATGCAAGAAAACACCTTTCATGATTTGAGAATTTGTACCACTGAAGGAAGGATCTATCTCTATATCGTGATGATCGTGACTATGGTTTGAGTGAGAGTGTCCATGGCCACTATGAGAATGAGAATGCGAATGAGAGTGACCATGTCCCATTCCATGACCATGTCCATGTCCATGGTGGAACACGTATATTCCAACCAAATTAACTATTAATCCCATAACAGACACAACAAGAAGTCTTTCGTGCTTGATCTCAGGTGGTTCAATGGACCTCTCAACAGCTTCTGACATAATGAAGAGAGCAATGAAGAATAGTAGTAGAGCATTGACAAATCCTCCTAAGACTTCTGCTCTAACATAACCATAAGAATATCTTTCATTTGCTCTCCATTTTGTTATAACGGATGCAGCCAGACCAAATAACAGACCGGTACAATCGAAGAACATGTGGAAACTGTCCGATATCAAGCCCAAACTATTTGTCCATATTCCATAGAGTAATTCAATAAAGGCAAAAGACAAATTGAGGAGAAGAAATAAAAATAAGTTCCTGGTGTTCTTGTCAGAAAATATCAGACGTTTCCAGCCCAATACCTTTTCTTTTATCCTACTACCAATGTCTCTGGAGTCTTTGTGCGAAAGTGGAAGCATTTTGTATAGATGACAGGATTCTTTCTGCGAATAATGATGATTCTAAAATCAGAAAAAATAATTTTTTAGTAATTTAAAAATTTATATATGTACATTAAAAATATTGATTTTATAAACAAACTCTTCAATTACAATCAGCACAAGTGTTTCAGTATAAATTCTTCATTAAAACGAAAACAATCACAGAAAAGAATTAAAAATATGTCAAGCATAAACTACTGAACATACAGCTGATTAAACGGTACTCTCGCTTATCAGTTAATGACATTCATAAATTATATCAAAAAATCAACTTTTTAAATGAAATATGTGGTCAACGAATGATTGTCACGTTGTTCTGAATTAAATTATTCAATCTGCATAGTTAACTTTGATAACTACTTTGGAATGAAAACACGATTGACACGTAGCAACAGTGAATGGATTTTTAACCTTACACAAAATGTATCTGGTAAAGTGAAATTACCTTTTGGTACGAAATTAAATAAAAACGGACGTCTGTGACTGATTTAAAGATACTAGATGGTATTCTTAACGCGAATACATTTTTTGAGAGGGTCAAAATCGTGAAAAACCGGGACTTAAAAACGCACAGCGTGGCGCCATGCTTTGTACGCTGCAGCCACTCCTGAGTGACTGACAAGTAAACTTGATATAATGCGCGATATGCTTAATTTATTTTGTTAAATCACATAACTTTACGATGAAAAAATTAATGCTATTAATTGATTTATTTACTCAACCATAATCATTTCTTTTTCTTATTTTCTTACTATTTTTGGTAATGATACTGATCAATTCAGTGAAACAGAGGGCTCTGCCAGTGGTAATCAGTAGTGATGGCGTTACCTGTACTTCCCTTTTCTTTCCGAGTCGACAGCCATCATGGTGAGTAATTGCAAAATGCTTTTCCTTTCTATTTTAATTGTTTTCATTTGAGCAACTTTTCCAAATACGATAGAAACATTTCCTGCGGATAGTGTGGTGCTTTTATTTCGAATAGTAAGCAAAGAATATTTTGTAAATTTTACGTGTGATAAAGTGGATAACCTTTTCGAGTGATACCGTCCACATGGTGTATACAATGTATTCGATATATTTTATATTAAACTTTTGTATTTAGTTACATTAGTTCTAAGCTAACGTCATATAAACGTGTTATTTATTATACGGTGTCTGAAATGCAAGTTCACTTAGATTTCAGAATACGTCAGTAACTAACCTCTTTACAAATGTTTTGTTGACACGTTGAAGAACCATTGAAACTTAAAAATATAAAGTGTAATGTACAGTATATAATATTATGATGAAAAACTCATTCTAGATCAATTCTGTGACAGTAAAATACTGATTTAATGAGCCTGAGTAATATTTAACATGTAAACATCTTTACATATCATATGCCTAGGACACTTAATTTATTTTTATTTTTTATTTCAGCCGCCTAAAAAGGATACGAAAGGGTCCTCAAAGCAGCCACAAAAAACACAGAAGAAGAAGGAGGGAGGATCTGGTGGCAAAGCCAAAAAGAAGGTTTGTATTATACTTGCCTCACGTGTTACATCTGTACGAAAAAATTCTTTGATGATGAACACTAATATCCTTGATAAATCATGGAAGCAAAATACTGATTTAATGAGTCTGATACAATATCATACTAAATACAATATTAAACTCCAACTTGAACTATTAAATCTCACATCATCTTTCTGCTTGTTATTGCAGAAGTGGTCCAAAGGAAAAGTACGTGACAAGTTAAATAACCAGGTGTTGTTTGACAAAGGCACATATGAGAAGTTACTGAAAGAAGTACCACAATACAAATTGATCACACCATCCATCGTTAGTGAAAGACTAAAGATTCGTGGATCCCTTGCCAGGAGGGCCCTGATCGAGTTGCAACAGAAAGGACTCATTAAACAAGTTGTACAGCATCATGCGCAATTAATTTACACGCGTACTACCAAGGGTGACGATCCGGCTGCGTAACTCTTACGCAATGTATAATTTTGTTTAATAAAAAGTATTTGTAAATCCATACATTGGCTCATTCCATATTCAAAGATTAATTCTATAGGCCATTTTCCTCAAATTCATAAGTTCTCTTTAGGGTCTCTCTAGACTATTTAGAAGCACACGTCGCTCCGTATAAAGTCTTGTAATATATGCATTCATGTAATTAGATTCTTATCCAAGAGGGTCAATCTGTACTCAGAAAGGTGACAGCCCATGGGACTGCCAGGTAGTCACGCCAATGAACACACGTGCGAACAAACTACCTGAACATGCCTTCTAATCGACGTTGACCACGGTAAACTCGCGTTCACGGCACAACCGTATATTGTTTTTTCAAATATAATGGCTGTGTTCGAATGAGACACGGATCTTTTCCTCTGCCCCGTTCCGTACCAGATACAAGCTGGTCTCGACGCTCAAAATTCTAGTGCACACAGCCATTTGAAATGACGGAACGGATCCTCGACTTAGTTTTATCGACGTAGAACTTGACAAGACGTCCTTTGGCTCCTGAGGCGAAGCTCGAACCAGATAGATTTGTCAGGACAAAATTGATCGAATAGTGTTTCAAGAAAAGTGCAAAAGCAAGAAGAAAAAGATTTGACACGATCTCCGACACCGAAGACCAGTAAAAGAAACACGTACGTGCGTGTGCAGAGAAGGAGAAGAGGAAAGAGAATCGGTTATCTGTTATCAGGATCAGAAGTCCAATGAAGATCCACTGGCATGGCCACGCCACTCAGCCCCCGAAATTCGGAGGTGAACGCGCTTGAGCAGCGGGGCTATCTTATTGGCAAAAAAATCGGACAGGTTATTTACCCCTAACCCCCTATCTTACTTCAGTTCATTAACCTTTTCTCTCCCTTCCTCTACCTGTTTCTGACCTGTTTCTTTTCTTCACCTGTACAAATGTTACACATTTCAAATATATACTTTTTATTCGATATCTTCTTCGTTGAACAATTATCATTGCGTACTTGCTACAACAATTTGCGATTAACTTTATAAATGTTAGGGATCGTACGCGACCGTACACCTGGCCGAATATGTCGACGGAACAAGTTCGAAGAAATTGCGATTAGCCTGTAAAATATTTGACAAAGAAAAAGCACCCCCCGACTTCCTCGACAAATTCTTTCCCCGTGAACTCGAAATCCTTACAAAGATCGAAAATCCTCATATCATTCAAGTAAGACGTTCTAGTTACGCCAATAGACGCTGGAGCGAATAATACTTTAGTCTCTTAACAAATATGTTAACAATCGTTAACAAAATAAAATATCGCAGGTACACAGTATACTGCAGCGTGGTCCAAGAGTCTTCATCTTCATGCGTTACGCTGACAACGGTGACCTCCTAGACTTCGTTGACCGAAATGGCGCCGTACCGGAACAGCAATCGAAGCTTTGGTTCAGACAGATGGCTTCCGGTCTGCACTACCTTCACGGGAAGAACATCGCCCATCGCGATTTAAAATGCGAGAACATTCTGCTGTCGCGAAAGTTTAATGTTAAATTGGCAGACTTTGGATTCGCGAGGTTCTGCGTCGATCACGAAGGCAGACGCGTCCTCAGCAAGACCTACTGTGGCTCTGCCGCGTACGCCGCACCGGAAGTCGTCTCTGGAACCCCCTACAACCCGAAACTGGCCGACGTCTGGTCTCTAGGAATCATTTTGTTCATCATGTTGAACGCGTCGATGCCGTTCGACGACTCGAACCTGCAGAAACTGTTGAAGGATCAGATGTCGAGGAACTGGATGTTTCGGTCCCGAGTTCGGGATACTGTGTCCGCGTTGGCGAAGAGCATCGTAAAGCACATTCTGGAACCGGATATTACGTTGAGGTTGACGTTGGAAAGAGTTCTGGGCCACGAGTGGGTGCGCACCAAGAAAGAAAAACCTACGTCTCTTACTGGGCGTCTCGTACATTCGGCACCTCCTACTCATCCACAGGTAACTTTGCTATTTTTTCATTAGATTCTTCAAGTCTATACGAAATAGTCCTCAGGACTATAATACAGAAATGTCTGCGTAAATTTTGATTATAATTTTATTATAAAGACATGCGGAGGCGGAGGAAAGTTGGTTGGCGCAGGGGCTGCAGGGGGTTGCAACGTACCTTTGGTACTCAAAGGTCTGTCGTCGTCCAAGAACTCTGAGAATCAGAATCATGGTAATGCTGTAAAGTCTGTGGACAATTCGGGGAAGAATGCGCAATTGTCCGCTGTTCAATGAAGGCAAATAGGACCGACAAGGATGAACCAACGTCATTCGTACATACACGTCGAACGCCGACGAGATGCTCAGTATGTAATCTGTGCATCTTTCAACCTACGCATGTTTATAGTTCATTTTTTTTACTTTCCTGATTATTGTTGATCTATACATGATTTTTAATAACTCATACTTTAATAAAAAGATTACACAATTTTAACGATGCATCCATCTGTTCTTTTAGATTTTTGTTGGCGAAAGTAAGTCCAAGAATGTAGTAATAATAATTAAGTTTATTGTACAACTAACGTCTATTAATATACAAAACTATAATTTTTTGATTACACGTTCGACAACGTGACATTATACATATATAAGTATAATAGATAATATGTAACATTACAAGTAAATATTTTTTAATATATATAGTTTACATTAAAACAACAAATAATTTACACGATTCGATATTTCGCCCCGGTCGATCTCTCCCGGCGTAGCACCTGGTGATGTTAAAAATACACGTATTTTTCTGAGAGAGATCGACTTGGCGATCTAGAAAAAAAAGAAGTTTGAGTCTACAGGGTGGCTCAAAAAACGTGCTCGTTGCTGTAAAAATATTCGTTCGTGACCTTAATCAACGGCGTCGCGTGTACAAAAGGGCGCGGTTTACTGTTCGGGTCGATTGTGTTGTGCGTGTTTCTCATCGTTACAAAATACAATTACATTTGTATTCCATTATGGAGGCTTTCGTGGATGAAAACACTTCATATACAAGTCGTGTATCATTTCGCGCATATTATCTTCACAGGCTGTGATTAATCACTCCCAGAAGATTGCATGCCGAAAGAACGATAAATTCGCTAAAAACGGGTTATTTCCTAACGCGAGATAAAAAGTCGCGCCCTTCACGAGCGAGACAGGCAGTTGTACACAGGCGATACAATTTTCTATTTACAAAATACAATATAACATAAGATCGTCTATAAATTTAAGTATTTTTACAAAATATCAGCCAACGTGTCGCGTTATTCTTTCAGATCAAGGCAAAATACGCTTCATCTACATATTTTAAGAGATTTTAGGCAGCTGCGCCCACAAGCGCATTCGAGATTGGGCGCATGCATTCGTTTGATTGTCAGAAGTCCTTCCCTTTCTACACATAGGCACCCGTGAACTCTCCTATGGGTGCTTTGACCATCGCCGTTTTAAACCCATCCTCCGGTCAATTTGTGGAACATCTCCTCGTTCAACGTTTGATTCGCTTCCTTCGATCGCATGAACAAAAATATGTAACCCCCGATGAACTCGTGGACGACCTTGCAGTCAGCTGACTGGCACTCGAAGACGATATTTTCGTCCTCGAATTGTACCATCATGTGCTTCATCTCCCAGTTCACGTTCCATGCCTACGCAAACGAAACACGTTGATTCAACGAACTCTTCAACACAAGTGTTCTCGTGAACTCTTAGGTAGTTGAGTCAGCAAGCGCTTAAGTTTAATCTTTGATACATAAACGTATTTACGGTATCTTTGATGTCTAAACGTTAGGGTGGATCGTTATCGTCTAGCTCACATACCTTTATCGTATTCAGTCGCCAAGTTTTTAAGTGATCACCGCTGTGAAGCTCCATTCGCATCAACCTATTGTTAGCGATACCCAATAACTCGTCCTTGCTCTTCCCAGTGAATCTGACCACGAACAACGAAATACCGTACTCGGGCAGGGATTGCCAGGCCTTTATGTAATTTAGTTTAGCCTCGATCAACGGGAGATCCTTGACGTTCGCGTGTGCCTCCAAGATCCTCTGAACCAACTGCAACCAAGAACAAATTTAGTTAATGTACGTGCAGATATAGATTTAGTCAACATAGATCTTGTTTGGACATACTTTTCCTTTGAACTTCTTCACGAATCTAGGGGCAACATAATCGTCCGGAACGATGTCTAAGGAGTTCGGATTGATCGCAGGCGCAGGAGCGGGCCTCTGCAATTGCAGGAAAGCCGTGATGCTGTTTACTTCGCTCTCGTAAGACGCGTCCGCGAGTGAACGTCCTTTGGCCGCTAGTCTGCAGGCCGCCATCCATTTCGCGTATTGTTGTTCCTGCAACGACGATGTAATTACGGAACAGGTACTAATTACAGGTCAATGAAATATCTAACATGGAGTGGGTAGGTGAGGTACTCACGTTGTCGCATCTGATCCACATCTCGGTCATGCCCTCAGCACTGGGCACCTCCAGCCTGATCCCGTAGCGGCCTTGCGACAGATGGACATCGGGCGTGACCTCGCAACCACGCAGATTGATCACGTGGGCAGGTGACTCGCTGTTGGTTTCCTCCCGGCTCTTGTACAACCTGAGTTGAAGGTCCCTGCACGTGACCCAGTAGCGTTTGAAGGCCTTCAGAGTGAAGCGTTTGGGCTTCAAGAAGCGCAGGTAGTCGCATAGCTCCGGCACCTGAGTGATGTCGCTGGGTCCGTTACTGATGTTGCTACCCTCCAGGGTCACCTGGAGGTCCGTCAAGGCTGCGTCAATGTCATCCTCGACGGGAGAAGAGGCGCCGTTGCTGTCGTAACTCGGCTGCGGCACGCTGGCCTGAAGATTCACCTGCACCTGTAACCGTACGCAGGCTGCTTACGTCATTCGTCCACGCGATACGTCGCTCCTTTTATCGATACGCGTGCACGGAGATCGAGAAATCGATGGGCGTGACGGAAAAACAAACGCGGCGTCGATCGACTTAAGGAAACGAGTGTCGAGGTACGCGCGATCGCGACGACTGGTCGCACGCACGGGCGGATCGGATGCCTTTAATTGGACGCAATCAGCAACGTCGCGGTAAAAATTTCTCTCGTTGCAGTGGGCCCGTTTCGTTTCTATCTTTAGACTCCTCGATCATCTCGATACTTTTCAGTTTCTTAAAACCAGTCCTCTCTACGTCCCGATCTCTCGTGTCGTCACGAGTTATTTCCGTCTGCCGCTTACCGAGACCCAGCGCGTATATACATAGATCGATTCGGTCGACGAACACCGGATGTTTGGATCGTGAAAACGTTATCGCTTAAACGTAAACGATGGCGCAGCTGCTTAGTCGTCGCGAATCAGAGAAAAATCGAATGACTCGCTCGTACTTAAACCGTTCGATTATTAGGCTACCCAGCAACTATATTTCACTTATAGAGCTAATACCTGAAGAGCGGCAAACATGAGCATCTCCTCCTCGGTGCAGTCAATCTCCTCGGCGAGCAGCTGCCACTTGGCCTGCTCGTAAATCATGTTGATCCTGACGGCGTCCGTTTTCGGATTCAGATCGTAGAACGAGTAGAACTTGAATTTCAACCGTAGAGTGTCGAATTCGCGGATGCCTTGTTCCATGATCGACAGGGACGAATCGAGCCAGGCGACGTTCATCCTGGCTCGTTCCACGAGATTCTTCGGCCTGACCAATTTAGCCCGCACTTCGGGCGAGACGGTGGTCGGACTCTGTGCCAGGGACTCTGACACTTCAAGAAGCGCAGGTAGTCGCATAGCTCCGGCACCTGAGTGATGTCGCTGGGTCCGTTACTGATGTTGCTACCCTCCAGGGTCACCTGGAGGTCCGTCAAGGCTGCGTCAATGTCATCCTCGACGGGAGAAGAGGCGCCGTTGCTGTCGTAACTCGGCTGCGGCACGCTGGCCTGAAGATTCACCTGCACCTGTAACCGTACGCAGGCTGCTTACGTCATTCGTCCACGCGATACGTCGCTCCTTTTATCGATACGCGTGCACGGAGATCGAGAAATCGATGGGCGTGACGGAAAAACAAACGCGGCGTCGATCGACTTAAGGAAACGAGTGTCGAGGTACGCGCGATCGCGACGACTGGTCGCACGCACGGGCGGATCGGATGCCTTTAATTGGACGCAATCAGCAACGTCGCGGTAAAAATTTCTCTCGTTGCAGTGGGCCCGTTTCGTTTCTATCTTTAGACTCCTCGATCATCTCGATACTTTTCAGTTTCTTAAAACCAGTCCTCTCTACGTCCCGATCTCTCGTGTCGTCACGAGTTATTTCCGTCTGCCGCTTACCGAGACCCAGCGCGTATATACATAGATCGATTCGGTCGACGAACACCGGATGTTTGGATCGTGAAAACGTTATCGCTTAAACGTAAACGATGGCGCAGCTGCTTAGTCGTCGCGAATCAGAGAAAAATCGAATGACTCGCTCGTACTTAAACCGTTCGATTATTAGGCTACCCAGCAACTATATTTCACTTATAGAGCTAATACCTGAAGAGCGGCAAACATGAGCATCTCCTCCTCGGTGCAGTCAATCTCCTCGGCGAGCAGCTGCCACTTGGCCTGCTCGTAAATCATGTTGATCCTGACGGCGTCCGTTTTCGGATTCAGATCGTAGAACGAGTAGAACTTGAATTTCAACCGTAGAGTGTCGAATTCGCGGATGCCTTGTTCCATGATCGACAGGGACGAATCGAGCCAGGCGACGTTCATCCTGGCTCGTTCCACGAGATTCTTCGGCCTGACCAATTTAGCCCGCACTTCGGGCGAGACGGTGGTCGGACTCTGTGCCAGGGACTCTGACAGACCCCCGTTCAACGCCTCCAGACTCATGGTGCTGTTGTTCGCGTTGAACGAGCCTGTGCTACCAAAACCAGACGAATTGTTGTTCCTCTTCCACGTACCGGTTTGCTGAAGATGAGAGAAGGTTACAGTCGTTACAACAGCGAGAGCAATAAATACAACTAATGATTACCAGAGAGGCCGGAAAAACGGGGCCGCTCGCGAGGAGCAAATTAGCTTTCCAAGACGAACGGCTTCGTAAGCGGTAATGATAGGCCAATATCGATAAATCATAGCTACGGCAACGAGCTCGATCCGGAGATTATTTATTACCATAACAGGTCCGATCCTGCTTCTCTGGTATCTCAGACTCTAGCTACGTGGACTACGGAACTGTGACGAGACCTAGCAACACCTAATCTAACACCTACTCTAAGACTTTTACTCGTTAATTCGAATTGGACTTCTATACAATGATCCCAGATGAAAATAAACGTACTCAGAGTTCTTTTAGATGGTCCATAAGGTTTCATCTAAGTGGACGAATAAGCGGTTCACTCACCGAGACTGGAGAACTGATCGGAGTGCTGTGATTTCTGTTATTGGGTGTGACTGGAGCGCACATGAAAGGGCTACTTTGGTCCAAGCTACCCGTCGATCCCCTGGGACTCTGGCTGACCGGAATGAAGGTATTCGTGTCCGCCGGCACGTTCCAGTGGCCATTTTTCTGGTGTTCGATCTTCTTCTTCGCGGGCAGATCCTTCAAATTGTATTTCAGGTGGTTTGGCTCGAGGGGCTTGCAGAACGACAGCTCCTCAGGATGTCTGATACCTGAAGTTAAGCGTTATTTAAAATATAAACGTTAAGCTTTATTTAAAAACTCTTCCTTTTACGTATTGCACGATTTATCTTGTTTTGAAACCTATTACTTGTCATTCACGTAATCGAAGGTTGTCCGCTAATCGCTACTTACATTGTCATTTACCGAAATGCGACATCGATATTCCGCAGTACAGTTGCATCACTTTATGATAATTTTTTATTTCGCATTCGACATGTTTGCTATTCGCGGTAATGTCGAAGAGGTTACGTTGTATTTATTTATGAACGTGATACAAGGGGTATCGATGAGGTCATACGTCCACATTGGCAAAAATAAAAAACAGGAAAGTATAACTACTAGCGTGCTGGCTCGCGATTAAATAAATCGATCAATTGTCCTTCGTAAGTGTCACACGACAAAGAGAGAAAAAGAGGGACACCGATACAATGCCTTCATTATCGCGGCGAACCACTTCCTTGATTAAAAAGCTGGCCTACCGGGATGTCGCGTTGAACTTCAGGCACGAAGGCACCCGTGACCTTCGCGTGACTAAGAATTTAACAATTTTATTTCATTACCGGCACTAATTAGCGCTGTCACGCGGCCACGGTGTCGTGCGCGTTCGATAACGTGTCCTGGAATCTCTTTAAAACAACGACCTTACACATCGTTTAACACCGATTTTTTGTACGTCATGCGCTAAACCAGGCTTCACGTTTGTCCTTTTCATTTGCTATATTTTGCTACATACACATGCATCTTTGAAATTTTAGAACCCAACTAAATCAACGTATTTCGAAACACCGAATCGACTGTGTGTCTCAAGGCTATATTCAAATAGATAGTCAATATTTTAAGAATGTTCTAATTGCGACAGCAGAGGTACGTTCTAACGACTTCTCGCACCTATGCGAGCAATTTCACCAAGCCTCGCGTCAATTAGCGGTTGACATCTTAATAATTTTTAGGCTGTTAGAATAAAACTGACTTGCCTACTTCTTTGCAGAGATTGATCACGGCGTTGAACGTTTTCACGGAGAAGTCGACCTTGCAGTCGAGACAACGCATATCCGGCAGCTGTACCCTCAGGGTTTTGTGCATTGGCGTGAAGTGAAGAAGAGCATCCGCGGCCACGCCGTACTGATCGAGAGTGCTCCTCGTTCTGGTGAGCCAGTGATTCCTCTCGGGCCACCATAACGCGTGGTCTGACCAGTCCATGGCGATGTCTGTAAGCAGAATAAAATTTTACATCTTAAATTTTATATTTTATAAATTTGTAATTCGTTTTGATATTTTATTACGTAAATAATGACCGTGAGTAATAACTCTTGTATCATATGTAAGTATTTGAAATATCGTAGAGATATCAAGAATTGCACGACCCAGCGAAGATGAGCTCGATTGGATGATATTCAGAGGGGGTCGATTGTTTAATGCTCCTTAAAGGGAGGACGTCAATTGATCAATGAAGATCTAACACGGTGGTAATAGACGCGCGTGTTTATTGCCTTCATCGTCGGCCCCTTTGATCGTCTCGCGATTCCGGAAATAGAAAACATCCCTAATTCGTTGGGGAGAGATTGCACGAGGGTGCATCGAGCATTGACGTCGCGATAAAGACCCACTGTACATTGATCTGTCCAAAGGACAAAGTCCCTTGTTAATGCCTAACCTTCATTACCCACCAGAACTTTCATGTTCTTAACTAAAATTTATTATTAGAACATATTTCTGTCAAGGTCTCTCATTTAATCCTTGAAACTATTCTCTACGTTTATAAACAATTAAAACCATATCGTATGGTCTACTCTCGAATTAACGTAGATAAGTTTTAACAGCCCAGTCTTAAGTGTTCTCACAATAAACTCCTTCAGTTTATTTTTACCCTCGAAATACGCAGCTACGAGAATCTCGACTTATTTCTCTTCTAGACGCATCACGCGTAATAACTCCGTAGATTTAATTTCTCTTGCGGTTGCGAATGTACGACTTCCCAAGTCTCTGACCGCAGCCTTAAACCCTGATCCACGTCAGAGCGCACACGGTCTACGCTCGAAAACGCGAAGTGTAGCAAACAGTTCGTCGTGTTTTTCTTTCTCCGATCAGACCCTGAATGCATCCGGGACACGTGCGTCACAATTCCATGACGTTTCCCATCCATGTTCGACGATGATTTACGCGCGCAGTGGTTTAACGACCACGTGGTTGCCGAGGGTCCTGTTTACATTATCGCCATGCATCGTTTGGTCATCGAATTTCTAGCCGGGCCATTTTTCCGCATTTATCATATTTTCTCTGCGGAAAAAAATTTAACGACGAACATGATTGGCATTATTAATGTATTCGTAACCCCTGTGTTCAAGGAGTGTATTCCTCGTCCGGGAGTCAAGGTATCTCGATGCGCTAATTACCCAAGGGAGTTTCACTGCAACCGACAGAAAAACGTCGAGGATTCAAAAGACTTCCTCCAACGTTTGTTTCTACGAGAACAGTAGCCCCGACAATTTCAACACTCCTCTCGAGTGTCTTTTCCTCTTCCTTTAGATACGTGCATAAGAATACGCATACCTTTCTTTTCTCCTGCAAGAAAGTAGGCGTCAAGACAGTCACAATGAACCTTCTGCTACACGCACATACGCAAAGGTTCGCACCCTCCCCTTTTCTTCGCGTCCATTCTTTCGCACGAGCGACCTACCCACTCCTGAGTGGCTGTCGGGAGACAACCCTTGTACGCGAAGACGACTACAAGGGTGTCGGCTGGCTCAAGGGTTTCATCCCTCACCGCCTCTCAAAACCGGCGAAAAACTAGTCCGTTTCTGTGTATACAGGACACACACGTGTACGGGTCGCGACTCAACTGGAAAAGGAATTTTCACAGCTGTTCCCCGCCGACCGCTTCCTATCCGCTCGATTTAACGACCCGAAATCGCTGCCCAGCTATTTCAACACGTTGTTTCGGGTATTAGAAGGACCACATGGCTAATGCAACCAGCCGTGACGGGGTGTAATTGTTACAGGGTGTGAACGGGGATGCGGTTAATTAATCATGTTTTGTAAAGTTTGAAGGGATCGGACGGTAAGTGTTGATGGAGTCTCGTGTGGTAACTTTTTTAGTATAATTGCAAACTGTAGAGCATAATTCGATAAATAATTGTTACAGAATAGGTTTGCAACATGGAGAGATCTATAAGATCTTCAATGTCTGCAGTTTTGAAAATCTTTTAAAATTAAACAGTCTACAATGTGTAAATCTTGACAGGTTCGAAGTTCTTGATCTGTAAAGTCTTGCATAAGTGTAAGAAGCTTGAGAAACTTTATTAACCCTGAAAGTTATAAACGTATCGACCTATAAATGTTGTTAATGATTCAGAGAGTAGATAAAAAGCGGAGATCCTCCAGATCGGCGCCAAGTTACCGGTCTTTCTGTCGAAGCCTGACATGCGCGTTGAATTCGAAAGACCGCCGATGTACCGTTAATGGGACAGATGATTTTTTCCGCCGATGACCCGACGTTCCACGCGGTTTTTACGCACCGTTACGTTACATCGGTCGTTCGTGGAGCGACTTCCGTGGGACGCGAATGCAGAAACATTAACGCGTGAACCGAGACGAGTGCGCTCTCACGATTCTGCAGCTGCGTTCTATAAATATTTCGCGAATCTTAGGACCCGCTCTCCTATCGAGACCTTCGTCACCCACGCGGTCGCTTTATTTTCAACGGAGCAAAATGAAAAGGACATCACAATCATCCTAGCGAGCTGCATTCCGCTCGTAACGATGTTACAATGTGAGAGGTACAGCTACCTATCACGCGTTTAGTATGCATTGTCTTTCGTTAGGTGGTTACAAGTACCAGATATTAAACGGCGGCCGTCCCGGAATGAAATATTCAATTAGATGCCAGTAAGTACACGGTTTGTGTCGCATGCGATGCAAATCCTCTGAGGCTTTTATGTAAATCGCATGCTCGTTAGTTGACCCCGTTCGCAAGGGCTCCGAGGGAGGCCGATGGAGAAACAATCCATTGTTGCTGATCTTTGACCAGCTTTTTAATTCAACTTCTCGTGCATGGAGAACCTTTTCGAGTGACAGAATATCGTGTAATAACTAACTTTTGAAGCTGCGCATAACGTTAAAGATCGCTTAAAGTGCACGACCATAAAGGTGTTATGGTTTGTACGGATGACATTTAGCTCTTAGGAAGTTCAACGGCGGTGCATCGAACGATGCACTCTACCAAATATCGCTCTGGGAAACGAAGCGTGTGCGCCTCTAAAAGGTCTACCGTAATCTAGAACCACGTCGATCTATGCGCCGTGTCGAGCACAAAAGAGGTACACGGGTCAGAATCGCAGTTACGAGGAAATGTTCTTTGCATAATAACGAGGAACCGTGTACCGCTAGGAGTGGCACGGTGACACACTAACGAGAAAAAGGATGTCTCTTCCAGGTCGCTTTATTGCTCGTGCTAACGACCGGAAACAAGCTTTCGCAACCCATCCACTTCGAATCTTGGCAACCTTTGCTATTTATAGGCTGCCACCTTTTCGCGATGCATGTTTAATTACTGACGACATCTGGGGTGATTCGGTGCGAATACTAATTTAATTCTTTTACGTTTCGAGAGATACGTTATCAAAAGGAGAGATAATGTTACGTGTTGTCTTCTTCACATGGACTTTCACGATGACCTGATCGTGAATCTGATCGTGGATGTGACCGTAGATCCACATGTGTGGATAGTCTGTCAAATTTTCAAACAGCCAAATTTCCTAAAGGCACTGCCACAATATGGAGTCCATCATACATCTTGACCGACCCAGGAAAAGCAATTATACAAAATCTCCGTAAACGAGTTCCCGTTTCGTTAAACGGAGGACCCTCCAGATTTTTCAGTAAGATTCCCCGCAGCGTTCACGGCTTCAGCATCGACGTACGGCGATAAATTTTCGGCTAAGAAGCGTCCTTAATGAGCCTGCCGTTGGAGTGGCAATTTACTCGAGGCTGGTGTTCAATTGATTCCATTGGAGGAAAAAAGGTATTCGTCGAGAATGGCGCAGGTGCCGCGTGCAATATCAATGCGATCCACGCCTAATTATTCAAATTGCCCGCCGCTTTATAGAATTCTTAATCAGGCCTCGAGCGGCAACCTCCTCGTCCCGGGTGCTTTGTCGGCCTCCTTCGGCGTCTCGTAAATTAATTTCCGTCCGAATCGAACGAGATCTTCTCCGAGACTTTTATGGTTTGACTCACGGAATTACTCGTTTCGCTGGAATCTCCGCGTCGAGACGAAAGAAGCGGGTTTCTTTGGAATTCTTCCGCTATGTTGCGTTCTCGATTTACGCTCGAGAGTATTTACACGAGGCTCCAGATGTTAGTATCACCGAAATAGATTCGCCTCCGCCGGCAAGACGGTTTCTGTTCCGTCATCGGCGACTTCTTTCACGATACTGTAATGCAACGTCTGCACCAATATTCTCTCAAGCTGGACTCTTTCGTTTTTTAAAACATAAATAGGTTGCAAATATCGCGGATTCGTCGGAGACCAAAATTATTCGAATTTCCCTCGGACTATTAATATTCTTGGCACGGTTAAAACGGTAAGCTGACAGTGAGCAATTATGGCCTTTTTTCTCGTCGAGGAGCGTAGTGAAAGCACCGAAATTGTTCGAATAACATTGTAACATTTATAACGCGAGGTACTTATTTACACAGTTGTCGAGACAGTTTAACGGAACAGGGTTTGGGCTGTCAGGTAACACGAGGTCAGTACGAATTGCTTCGGTCAACTGTTGACACTGTTGTTCGTGTTCAGGAATCGACGGTCGGTCAGCTAGCGGACAGGCTTTCGGCTTGATATGCAACGAGCGACGATAATGAGCCTTGTACGAGCGTGCTCGGTCTCGTGTATGCACATCTGCATCCCGTACGTACACAATTTGATGCAACAATCGTTTCGTCGCAGGTATTCGATGCGCTGTGCATGCCACGGGAATCGTAAGCTCGGCCCAGTTTCTTCGTTACACTTTCGTGCTGCGAAACAACCGTTCCTTCGCGAAAAAAATTAGTTGCATACTTTGCAAATATATACTTTACTTTAAAAATACTTTCGATAGTTCCGGTGATAATAAAGCACGAGTTTGACAGAATAGGAGGTATTGTATGGTATCGCTTTATGCGTGCGGTGCAACGGTAAATACCGATTATAAAATGTTCCATAGTAAAC